GGAATATTTCTGTACCATCAAAAAAGCACCAAGTGGGAAAGGGAAATATTCTACAAAATATCATTTTGATTCCACTGTACAGAGCCTGTCTCCTCTGCCAGGCTCTAACCTGTGCACAAGTGAGAGAGCAAGGGAGCTGTGCCATTGGGTTGTGGATTAATAGTCAGAGTTCACTCCTGTGGAAATAAAGCAGATTTTACTGTGACTAGAATGTGTCATTAAAAAGCCATTATTGGAACTGACCAGCACAATTCCTGCTCTCTCATTGCTAATGACAAAGCAATCTGTTCTTTAAAAAACAGCAACCCTGTATTTTCTTGCAGAGAATGGTACAGGAGACCCACCAGAATAGAAGCAGGGTGAAGAGAGGCAGTTGAAAGATTTATTGATCAATAAACCAGACAATTACATCTTGTTTATAAAAGGAAAAAAATAAAAAAGCCACCTCAAACCTCAGGCCTGCGAGCAACCCTGAGACTCTAATAATGATAACTCTGGCATCCAGCTTGAAACGATAAAAGTCAATAGGAAGATATAGGATTTCAATAAAATTATGACACTGGATAAACTTTACCCCAGGAACACATTTTCCCTGGGTGTGTGACTGACTTCAGCTAGATTTGTAACTTTAATTTCTTTCTTATTGATTTTTCTTTTCTTCAACTAATTAGAAAGTCTGGTGAATGGGGGGTGTGTGTGTTTGAAGAGGGGCTAAGGAGCAGCAGCAGAGGAAGGGCCTGAACTTATATGTACGTATATAGGGTCAGACACCTTTTTATGGTTTTTTGGCTATGTTTTACTCTTCAGTTACTTCCCACACCCAGGCAGGAGTGGCTCTGATGCTCCTCAGAGTGCAGGAGTCTGTGGGCTGCCCTTGTGCAGTGCTGCAGTGACTTTGGGGTGATGGTTTTGCAGTGATGATGATGATGGTGCTTGTGTGAACCCGTCTTAGTTCTTTCCCTAAAATTAACCCAAAAGTCCTGGAGAACTCCACTTCTGTTCCTGCTGTTTTTAAACCACTCTGGGGTGTGAGTGCTGCAGAAAGGGACTTTCTCTGAGCTTCAAGCTACTTGTCACCCAGGTGAAATTTTGGTTTTACACAGAGGGAGCAGAGGAGCTGCTGGGAGGACTGGGGAGAAGCTTCATCTTAGGGGTGGCATTTTGCAGAGGTGCCATCCTGTTCTTTCCCATAGCACATTTTCAAGGGATTAGCTCTAGTTTCTGGTTTAAATTATAAAATGTTTTTTCTTCTTAGTTACTTATGCAATAGTGGGAGGAATATTTATTTGATGAATGGGCTGGTGCTGGGAGAAGGAAGGGAAACTGTTCAACCTTTGAAAAAAATCACTATCCTTCCTCTTTTTCAAACTTACATCTCCTCAAACACAGCTGCAAGCTGCAGCACCAGGGTTTGCTGTAGGGCATTAATTTCCTAGGTTTGTAATGAACATCAAAATTATTATTCTGCATTTAGGGCATGTTCAGAATGAGCTACATTTCTGTTCAAGTGTTAATTTAAAACTAGTTAAGGTAAAGATCACCTGGAATTGTGCCAGGGTAGGGCCATGGTGAGTTAGCAGAGATTTACCCTGTGCTGGATAAATTTTGGAAATTCCCAGAGGAACTGCTTTTTAGTAATTCTGATGAATACTCCCCAGATAGGAAGCAGCAAAGCAGCTGTATTAGAATAAGGTTAGAAAGGGCATCTGAAAGTGCCTGGGGAGAATTTTGATGGGTCATGAAGAATGAGGAAATACTGCAGCAATTACTAAATTAGGATTACATTTTAGAGAATCTCTTTAGACAGCAAACTTCTCAACAAGAACTTCTGTTTCATGCCAAACTAACAAGATCTTTAGGAGGGAGGGAAAAGCTTTTAGTAAGTGCTCTTGATGGGGAGAAATTTAAAAAATGGAGCTGGGGACCACTTGGAAGCTGAGAATTGATTTCACTAACAGTATTCATATTTAGAAATAATTAAAGAGGATAAGTAAACTCCAGGATCAAGTGTTTATTTGTGTATTTGTGCCACCCTTTAGTTCAGCTTTTCAGAACTTTTTTTTTATTATTTTCCAATATAGTTTCTGCTGTGTTTACATGTGTAATTTTTTTCTTGACAAGTTTACTCTTTGTTTTAGAGAGGTGCTTTGAAGGGCAAGGGCTGTGGTTGATTTTAGGGGAAAGACAGCCTGTGGGGTTGGTCGTGCTCCCATGCAGTTTTCCCATGCTCATATGAAAGCTGGAGTTTGTCCTCCTTGTAGCTGGACAGCCCAGAGAGGTGCTGGGGTCTTGATGGGGATGACCCAAATGAGCTCAAATTCAGCATTAATTGAAAGCCAAGTGTGATGGAGTGCCGGGGGTCCTGTTTGCTTTTGAAAGAAAACACCAAGGATTTTGGGACTGCCCCTGCTGCATTGGAGAGAACAGCATTGGTAAGTTATCACACAGATGAAAAATGCTTAGGAGAAAATTAGGACAGCAGAGCAGCTCGGAGTGCAGAGAAGAGAGAGGATGCTGTAATTGCAAATCTAATTGCAACAACATGCAAAGCTCAAACCAATACCTTCACTAAGTGCTGTCATTATGTTCTCTTCTGTGCTCTAGAAGGTGATTTGGCTGTAAGCAGGGAATGGAATTCATCTCCCAAGCAAAAGCAGTTTGCCTTATGGAGAATGCACTGGGCAGACTGGGTGATGTCTGTGGGTAGTGGAGGGGGAAGAGGAGGATGGAGAGATCCTGTCCTGCTGCCTCTCTGCTTAACGAGTTCATTACAAGGCAGGTGTGTCTGCATTTGGGTTTTCTTCTTTTTCAGTAACGTGGAAGTATTTCCTTTCACGTGTACTGTCAGATGAACAATTCTAAACTATGGCAAAACTGTTGCCCTGGAAAAATATTTCTCTTCAGTCAAATCTGGGCTAGGAGCTGGTAATAGCTGCTGGTACTATTTATGTTAAAACCTGTTTTTCTTTATAATTTTGTTAACTCTGTTCCTGTAGCCCCAGGCTGTCCTTTAGTCTTGGGGTGTTTTTACCTGCTGACCTTTCAGTCCATGACGTGCTCTGAACACATTGTACCTCTGGCAGTGCCCCCAAGTGTTGTCACACCTTGAATTTGGATGTTCCTTCCCTTCCCACATGGACACTTGCTGTCCACATTCAGTCTCTGACCTTTAGATTTGGAAGGAGGAGATAACCTTTGTATCCAGGCCGAGCTGGGTGGTTAGGGGTCACCTTCACTCTCTGAAATACAGCCTTTTGCATTTAGGGGTGTTTTCCTGCCCCAATAATTCCTGATTTGCCCAAGTTGAAATTTTTTGGTGCAGCTGAGCTGGGTTTATGAAGTGCTGCACTGGCCTGGGCTGGAGGTGAGCAGCACAGCTGTCCAGCCCAGTGACCCTCTGATACCGCTTTGTCTGTGATGGCAGAATTCCCAGCAAGGAGCTGGTTTGTCCAGTCTGTGTGTGTGTAGCAGGGGAGGTATCAAACTTCAGCAGTGAAAGGGGGACAGCTCTGCTCAGCTTTCCTCAGAGTTTTGTCTCTTTGGGTTTATGCCAAGGGCCTGTGCTGCTTTGACCCTGTTCTGCAGCCTCATAAGCATCAAGGTTCTTCCATGCAGTCGAAAGATGAAACTCTTCATCCAGTTGCTTATCCCTGTGGGCACACTGCAGCGTGACCAGCCACCTCTTTAAACATACCTGGCTTCTTCAAATCTTCCTTTTGTCCTCATTCTTCTTCACCAGTGCCTTGGAGGGAGGCATTAGGTGCTTCTGAAGCTGGGAATGCATTAGGAATATTTCAGCCAGCAGCTCACACAAAACGTTACACATTTAGCTCTGAGCCCAAGCCTTATAGTTGGGGAGCTGCTGTCAGGGAGGGGAGAAGGATCCTTCTGTTTGTCTTTCCCTGCAAATGCCTGGTTATAATTGCCAGTAGATAGAGAAGTGAGCCAAACACTGTCTGCCAGACATTAACCTCTGAAAAAATGTTTGTTACAAGCACCGAGTGTTGCAGCATCTAACAAGTGATAAGTCACATACCATTTTGAGGATATTTGCTCTCAGCCACTTTGTTCGATGTCAAATTTGTTTCATTTCTGTTGTGACAATTCTGTTCTTTCTTTGCTGCGGCTCTGGCAGGAAAAATGTCAAGTACAACACTAAATATTTTGCTAAGGAAACCCATTCAACCATGTTGAATTAGAAGAGTGTCTCCAGGAAGAAGGCTCTGTTTTCAGTTGCCATCTGCTTGTTAGAGTGTCTGCATGTTGCTCTCCTGCAAAGGATGTGAGGTTTAATAGACACAAGACAGTCTAATCTTTGTTTTCACAGCAGCAACATTTATTTTATTAGAACTGTGTGTTCTACACACATGCACTGTATATGCATGTGTGTACATACATGCACCTGTATGCAAACTATGAGATAAGAAATGCTGACTTAGAAATGCCATGGAATAGGACAGATATTATTGAGAGAAAAATGGAGCTAGAAAAAAGTTTCAAAGGATAGCCTTGCAAATAAGAGTAGATACTTTGGAGAAATAGAAGTATGAAAGATGCATTGCAGTAGGACTGACAAGGGGTAGTTTTAGATGATTTGCTTTAAGGCATCTACAGCATGGTGTGACAAAAAGCTGATGGGCCAAGAAACACTTAGTGTTTTGTAATTAAGAAATCATTGGCTTCTGATTGTGATGGTGTGAATTATAACATCTCTATTGTCTCACTCTTCTCATGAGACTGAAAATGGAATAAAAGTTTTTAATACACCTCTCAGTTGCCCCATCCCTGGGTCAGAAAAGGCTATTGTCTGACAATCCCTGAGTGTGTTGCTGCTGTTCCTGGCAGGGTGTGTGTTCTGAGCCTTCATCCCTGAGTGTGTTGCTGCTGTTCCTGGCAGGGTGTGTGTTCTGAGCCTTCATCCCTGAGCGTGTTGCTGCTGTTCCTGGCAGGGTGTGTGTTCTGAGCCTTCATCCCTGAGTGTGTTGCTGCTGTTCTCGCAGGAGCGTGACGGGATGCGGGCGATCCTGGAGTCGTACGACAGCGAGCTGACCCCGGCCGAGCACTCGCCGCAGCTGAGCCGCCGCATGCGCGAGGCTGAGGACATGGTGCAGAAGCTGCACACTCACAACACCGAGCTGGAGGTAAAAAGCAGCGTCCTGCTCCAACCCCAGGGCTGGAGGAATTGGGATCTCTAAGATTGAGTTGCCTGGTGATGGGATCTGCTCTTGCCCGAAATTCCAGGATCAATAAGAGTCACAAGTTATTGCTCCACAGCTGAGGCTGGCAGAAGCCAAGAGTAATCATTTTTGGGTGTGCTGAGTGTGTTGTGCTGCTGCTGGAGGGGCAACCACTCCCTGTGGTGAAAGGGTTGTGAAGGGTTGGCAGGTGTGGGTTCTCTTCTCTGTGGTGTAGTTGAAGAGATTCACTCACGTGTGATCAAGGCTATGCTGTACACAATGTCAGCAACTTGTGTTTACAACAGCTTTACTTAAAGGTTGAAGAAGTAAAGTGTGTGTCTGCTGCAAATTCTTCCGTTCTTGGCAAAAACCCTGGAATACTGGTCACTATTAAGTGCTTTTTACTAGGTTTTCTCTAAAAAGAAAACATTCTGTCCAAATATAGAAGTATTTCTGAAAGGAATTCTTATGTTCTCCTTAGTTTTCTTTTTGAAAATTTGGAATCTGAAATGTGACTGTGGTGAGCTAAAGTTAACCTGCATTGGCCAAATTGTTCCACTCTTCTGTTGTGCTTAGTGGAATGGGCTTTGTGGTTATGAGTTAAAATATTTGGAATGTATCTGTGCTCTTAAAGCTTGGCAGTTTTATTACATCAGGCTTTGCAATAATCATAAGTATGTGAGTTTTTCTTCATGTTTAATTCCATCATCATGTAGATTTAGGTGCTATAACTCAAATGGAATAGAATGGTAGAAATTGCTCCTTGGGTTTATGCTCAAGCCACAGAGTGGCACAGAGAACTGTCTCACTCTGCACAAAACTCTGTTGTTTTTGGCATTGTTAAAAATGCTCTTTCCTTGTGTTGGGAGAGGGGGACTTATTTGAGGCAGTACTGGCTGCAGTGATCTTTAAATCCTGAGGAGAGCACAACGTGGTGTAGATCAGTGTCCTGGTATAGATCCATTTCATTGCTGTTTCTCTGACAACGAATTCTGCAAAGTTTTGGGCAAACTGATAGAGAAGTTAGCTGATAACACAAGATACAATGGAAATTTGCCTGAATTCATCTGCCTCAGAATGTTTCTCTGTTTTCACTTTTGCACACTATTGCTTCCCAGCAGACAGAGCAAGATTCAATGATGCTGACATAAAGGGATAGCTGCCTATTTTATCCTGCTTCCTTAGTTCTTCCCAACAGTGGCTCTAGGTTGTTGCAGGGTGATTTTCTGAATTGTTTCCTTGAATGTGTCAGGTGTGCTGTGTTGTCTTCAGGCAACAGAAAATTATCTTCTTCAGATGACAGCATGGAATAGGGTGAGAACCATTTGGTTCTACCCCTTTAATTATTTGTAGGGAACAAATTCTAAGTTTATTTTCATGGATATGGATTGAGGGGGACATGAAAATTTCACAAAGGAGGTGTATTCTCTGGAGTTTCGTTGTGTGTGATGTCAACTTCTAAGACTTTGCTAGAAGCAGGATTCAAAGACCTGATATTTTCCTCCCAAAGTACATTTTTACACTTCAGCTTGATTGTGTTTACCTTTCTGACTGCAGTGTTGGCTGCTGAATCCCATCTGTTTTGAAATTTTGGGGGAAAGTGTTTTGTTCCAGTAAAAATTGGAAAACTGGGAAGGGAAATTGAGGTACCGGCAGGACCCCTGGTGCTTTATCATCAGGAGCAGCAGCTGCAATCAGCTGCCAGTAGATCAAAGCTGCTGAGATGGTCGATGGCAGCTATTAATAACTCCTGACTTGATGCTCTGCTGAGCCTCCCCATGAGGTTTGGAAATGTTGACACCTGCATGACTCAGCTCACAAACAGAGGAGACTGCTGGGATGAGGCACCTTGGAGCCTCAGGTGTTTGAGATGTGGGAGCCTCTCTAGGGAAAAGGGAACTTGAGCGTGTTTAAATCAGTGTGGCAAAAGGGTTGGAGCATCCTGGGAGCCTCTGGTGTGGATGGGCTGGGGAGGAGCACAGGAGAAGCAGGAGTGCTCACCTGGGAGCATCCAGCAAAGCAGCCAGTGCACCGCTGCTCCAGACAGGTCCTGGAGGGGGCTGCAGAGAGGGACAGCGATGGATTTGAGCTGAAAAGGCCTGGCTTGACAGTTTTTGGAAGACTGGTGTGGTTGAAGTGTGGAAAACAAGCAGGATCACCAGTTAGCAGGGGATGTGCTGGTGTGGGTACCCACAGAGGGACACAGTCCCTGTGTGCTCCATCTCTGCTGGGGAGGCTCCAGGTATGGCTGTGGTCCAGGGGCTTCTGGAGTTTAACAAAGCCCTAGAAGACTCTGAGGGAAATGCATCCTCCTCCATTACATTTTGTGTGTTCTGCCCTTGAGCTTTGTTCATAAATCTTAACATTTGCACTATGAACCATGACTTTTTATCACAGTGTTTTCCCCTTTTCTCTTTTTTAAATTTTTGCTGCAGAGTACTTAAATGAACAAAATCTTTCTACATTCCCTAGAAGAGAACCCCTTAATAGTTTCTTTTTTCTTGTTTATTCTGTCTGCCTAAATCTGTTACCAGAAATGCCACTTCTGACAAAACAGAGGAGGAAAAAGGAATGCTCTTAACAGGGTTTTATCCTTATTCTGGAAAGGGAGATTTCCCCATCCATTTCAGCAGCAGTCAGGGAGCTGTGGTGAAGATGGAGTGATAGAGATAATAAAGTTAGAGAGAAGAGGAAGCTGTGAGGGACTGGGAAGATTTTGGGCTGAGGCAACACCTTTTAACTCGTTAAGGAGACGAGGTCTCTGGTAGGCCCTTTGCTGGGAAGCTGCTAAAAAGAGCAGAGGGAATGGGAGAGGAGTGTGCAAGCTCTGGAGGGGGCTGTGTGTGAGGGTTGTGTCTGCTGGGAGGATGGAGCCAGGGCACACAGGGAGCTGGGCAGAGGAGCTGCTGGGAGCACTGCACTGCCTGCACCAGACATCACCTGGATCACAGGCACCTTCCAGAATCTGGGATCCAGCAGGAGGCTTTGATCCCAGATAATTTCAGAGGTGCTGTTGCAGAAGAACCACTCCTGTCAGAGCCTGATGGGGCAGAGGACTGAAAAGCAAAGAAAGGCTGATGGGGAACTTTTAAAATCCACTTCACTGATGCTAGGTGATTAAAGCTGGATCTGTAATGCATGGACAATGCAAACACATGGACACAACATGCAGTTGCTTTCTCCTCCCCAGAGCTGCCCCCAGCCCAACCCCCTCCTCCACAGGGCTGATGTGGCTGGAGGGGTTCAAGGAATCATTTTACACAGTGTTGAATGTACAGCACAGAGAGATATAAAGAAAAATGTCATCTGAAATGGTGGCTGGAAAAGCAAGCAGGCTGTGTCAGCCCATTTCACGTGGTTAATGAAGTGTCACTCACCATCTTTATAAAAGTGTGTTTTGGAACTGGAGAGGGAATGAGTTTGTCCCTGGCCAGCCTGTTATAAATACCTTAACAGAAATGTAACTCAATTTCTATGGCAGAGTGAATTTTTGTTTTGATACTGGTTATATTAATAGTTTTCTTGCCAATCTTAGTTTACTTTTACCACCCTAGCTCTCATTACTTTTAATTTCTAGCTAAATATGACAAATCAAAAAGCTTCTGTGCATGCAACAGCCCCTGTGAAGTGGCTTTGATGTGGAGTTTAGTGTTTGAAAAGTTAAATCCAGCTGCACAAAAGGGAGATAATCATAAATATAACTTCATTAATAGTGATTTTATTACAACACTCCTGGCTTCATACGAAACTTTAATGAAGAGAGATTTGCAAGGAAGACTCATGCTGACACCTTCAGTGGTCTCCAGCATCTTTTACACTGAGAGATTTCCCCTGTCTGTGAGCACCATATGCACTCTAATCAGTTAATTGTGAGTCTGACAGTTTCAGCACATGAAATGCCATATGTTCTCTGGTTTTCTTCCATCACCGGCATTACTGGTGACCTCAAAACTCGTTGACCAAATATTGTCACATTATCTGCCCCTGATAACTGCAGTGCATCTGCTGATGGTGAAAACCTGGACTTTGCTGATTTTGTGGTGTTCAGTCATCAATCTGCTCCTTTCCAAGGGGGTTTACTCAGCAGCCACCCCAGTACTTAAAGTGCTTAAATTTTACTCTGAATGCAATAAAATGTTAATTTGAGCAGCTAACAGTTCTTCCTTGTCTTTCACCAGCTTCCCCCATCAGCACTTTTCCACCTTTTTTGCCTTTTTTTTTTCCTTCCCTTTGATCCACACTTTGTGTTTATCTTGCTCCTTTGCCACATTTCCTCTCCCCCTCAAAGGCAGATTGCTCCTTTACACAGCAGAAGGGGCTTCTGTGGTGATGGGAACTTTGCAGAGACGTTTCCTCCCATCTGTGCAAGGTACCGAGGAGTTTGTTTAATTTTCAGGTTTCTCCTGCCTACTTTCTCTACCTCTCCACTGCCATCCAACTTTTTTTTTTGCTCAATGACAACTTCTAAGAAGCAGCGAGATGATTACTCTGCTCACTTTGGATGTCCATAAGGAGCAAACTGGAATCACTAGAGCTTTCCTGCCACTCCAGAATGGCATATGTTGCACTTGCCCAGACTCCTGCTGTCACTGCAGCATCTTATCTGTGGGTTGTGGGAGAAAACAGGCTCTCTCTAGAGATGGTGCCGAGATGCTCCACGCATCAGCTCCCACTGACTGCTGAAGCAGTCACAGGGCTGAACATCATCCTCTGACAAAGCAAACACCTTGTTGAAATAATACTTTGAATCCAAATGATTTGGTATCTCTTGGCAGACTCAAGCCTTCCCAGGAAGCACTGAGATCCACTGCATTTGTTTTTCTTTGCTAAAGGAGAGCAGGTCAGGCCTGTGTTCTCTGGCAGTCCTGCAGAATGGATTATCTTGGGTTCTCTGTTATTTCACATGTTTCATCTTCTGTCAGACCTGAATGCCCTTATCGAATCAGTGAGTTATTAGTTTCCTC